ATTTTTAAAGTATTTTATATTCTTTGTCAGCTTGATATATTATACTGGTCGCACGTATCGAAGTTCTGTTTCTTCTAGTTTTAAAAAATCTTCTTATTTCATTATAGTTGTAGTGGTTGTAGTGTAAAATTAGATTAATTTTATTAAGTTTAATTATAATGTTTAGTGTAGAATACCAGAAATAGTTTAGTAGTGTTTTTATAGTTTATTATTTTGTAGTTAAGTAGTAGGTGAAGGGATAATTTTCGAGAGATCTGTTTTTTTTCTAAAGCCTGTCATTTTTGACATATGACACAAACATTATGTTTTTTTTTAATGGAAACATAGTTGGCCATGACTTCATAAAAAGCGCAATTTTTTAAGCTTTTCAGCAATATAGGTATACGTTTTTTGGAAAAATTACAAGTTATAGCCAATTCTTTTCTTTCTTGGCTAATTTCCATACCAATAATACCATACCAATTAGTTGGCATCAAAAATGTAAAAAGTTTTGTTTTCAAAAAAAAATATCGTAAAATTTGTACAGCACTCAATTTAGAATAAAATAATCTAAGAATGAAACGATCCTTTTATAAACCTGCATTAAATCAAATTAAAATAGGTATGTAACTTTTTTTTAAATATTAATTAACAGCAATTAATTAGTCATAAAATATAAATAATGTGCCAACATATCGAAATAATAATTTCTTTGTTAATACGGTTTAGAATTCTTAAAATAACACGCAAAAATAATCCACAATTTACAATAAATTAAAAGTTTCGTTTAAATTTCTTAATCAGCTGATCACTATTAAAGTTCGCAGAAATCCGGGGCTATATTATTACATTACTCTGTGTACGGAAAATAACGAAAATAATCGATATTTTTTACTCCGCCCCGAAAAGTTCACGATTTGTCCTCCAGTTGGCCGCACATTTTGTCTAGTCGGTTAAGCGACTTTAAAGAATATATAAACAAGGATTATAGTTAATAAAATAATTGGATAGATGTCTATCGCCAAGTAAGAATTGTTAATAAAAATTATCCTAATACTGCACCTAAATCTGTCTTTAAACTGGAACTACTGCAAATAAACCTAATAGCTTAAAGTAACTGTATTTAAAAAGACACGTTTTGTATAAGATACTTACTATCTGGCATTCCGTCTTCGTGACATCCCAGAAAACTCAAATTCGTAATGGAACTAGTGCTCAAAAAATCGTTTAATTGGCCTAACGTTACTCGAGTGCCGTTAATATAACCAGATTTCAGCTTTTTCATCGTGGTAATCATTGCTAACGGTATTTTACCATTTTCTGCGATAAAAGAAAATAAAAATACTTTTACATACATAGTTTTTATTTTAATAACTTCTACACTATCGGACAAGTAGAAAAACTTTTTAAAATTGTGTCTTTTTGTTAACGCAGGGACTAAGGCCAATTTATGCATTGTTAAAATTAAAGATACTTAAATAGTTCTTATTTAAATGAAATAATCACATGTCTCACGAACACTTAAGCTTTTATTCAGTTAAATAAAAAACTATAGGAACAAAAATAGAGAAACTAAAAATTAATATAAAAATTACAAGTACATAGTTGTTGCTAACCTAATAAAATTAATAATTAGCTATAACTTCACGACATCGCTTTGGCATGGAGTCCAATAGTTTTCTTATGGTATCTGGTTTATCTGGTTCAATGGAATTCCAGGCCTCTTTCAAAATTCTTATCAAATCTCTCTTATTGCTAATTTGACTTCGTCTTACCCGGCGATCTAGTTCACAGGTTTTCAATGGGGTTAATGTCTAGACTTTGGGAAGGAAATTCCATAACCCTAATTTGTTCAGACAAAAACTTTGAATAAGAAGACTAAGGAAGGAGCATATCAAAAATCTTAGGTACACCGCGATGGGCCTCAAATATGGCCGACTTAAATTCCGGTTTATCAGTGTCGTTCTAATTTTATTTAAAAAATGTAAAACTATGATGTAGGGTAGTCGTGGGGTAGACTCAATAATTTCTTGTTTTATTTTACGTTGTGAATAAATGTTGGTAGTTATTAAAATTGTTATAAAAATATATAATTCTAATAAAAATAGATAAGTTATAATAAGTATTTATTAACACAAACATCCGATACGCTACTGAAGCAGGTAAGTCAAATTAACGTATCTAAATTCTTTGACATCTAATCTTTGACAAGTAATAAATAAAAGCTAAAATGCAAGAAAAATATATAATTTACTTAATTTAAGTGAATTTCATAAATGATCGGTTTACAACACGTATGTATATTATATAGTCACTTACTAGCGAAAAGTTGTTCCATTATTTCACTCAATTTTTGCCGAGATCTACCGCACGCTACACAACCAACTATTTTAGAGTCTTTTTCGATAAATCGCGATAGTGTCACTGTTAATTTAAGTTCTGCCACAATTTCCATCTAGATTTACTACCTTTATACAACTATCAGTAGTAGAATAAATAATAAATAACATAAAATAAGCTCCGTAAAGACTGACAAATCCACAAAATTTCAAATCAAATTCAAATGTGTCAAATGAATCGTCAAACAGAATTGTCAAGGATCCCCACCCTAGAGAGCTTTTATGGTGGCTTTTCCGCCCACCATGCATGAATACATGGATAGCATTATGCTCCTTCCTTAGTCTTCTTATTCAAAGGACAAAAACCATTCTTGTAAGACTTTCGATTTATGCTTTGAATCATTATCCAGGCTAAAGGCAAATTATCATCAGCAAATGGAATCATCGCTTCCTTTAAGATGTCCAAATGCATAAATCGATCCATTGTTCCTTCTATTACATGCAGTGCTCCCATGCAACGCCCGAGAAGCATCCCCACATCATGCAAGATTGCACCATGCTTTACAGTGGCTTTGATATACTTATACTTTGGTACAAATCTTTTCCCTTCAGGGCGATGTATCCACGATATGCCATCGGATCCAAATATATTGAATTTGCTTTCATCTGAACAGGTCCTTTTTCTAGTCATTCGTCGACCAGTGCAAATATTTTTTTGCAAAGATAAGTCGAGCCTTCTGGTTCTTCTTACTTATGAGTGTTTTTTTGGCTGCTCTTCTGCTAAATAATCCTGCTTCCCTTAGCCTTCTTTGGATGGTCTTAGAGCTTATACTGACACTAGGTAGTTCACTCAAAATTCGATTTGCCGATTATTAGTTAAGGCAATTTTTTTAATTATCATTTCAATTTTTTTCGTTGTTTTCCTTGGCCGACCACTTTTTTTAATAGTCTTTAAGGAATTGCGAGTTGTGAAATTGAAAATCGTTTTGCTAATGAGAGACTTATGCAAATTAAACATTGTACTTATGTCCATTTGGCGTACACCATTCCGATGTGCATTGATTATTTTTTCGCGAAGATCGCGAAGACAAATATTTTCCGCGTGGCATATTTAGTAAAAATGTACATGAGCAAATAACTAAGTATGGTCAATTTTTATGTTGGTTTCTTTATTTATGTCCCTTCAAAAATATTTGTGTCCATATTATAAATAAACACCTGATAAGATAAATTTGGAATGTGGCGAAAAATGATGGTATTGCTAAAAGGAAATATGTTTAAAACAAACATTATTTTAAATATTGGAGGTTTTTGAAATCCGACGAGTTTTAAAAGGTTTCTCTACTTTTGCCTGATAGTGTAGCTACAGTCTGACAAACGGATCTGAAACAACGGGGCAACGGTGAGGGGATCGCAATTTTCTAAAATCATGACCGATTTCATTCATAAAATATCCACGAGCGTGCGGTGTTTCATAAAAATATATCAGGAATTTTTATAATATTTTCTAGTAAAGTTTATAATATTATTTTACTTTAAATGTACCTACATTTTGTTTAGTCATTTGCCAAATATAGTAATATTTGTTAAAACGCGTGTACTAATTACAATAAACACAAATCAAGTTAAAGATATAAAACACAATACAATAACACCGCCACTGGATTTTTCAATAGCAATGACTGTTTCTACTATTCCTAGAAAGGGGCATAAAGTTGAGGGGTAATGGCGGCAAGACGTGCGAGAATCTCGACCAATCAGACTGGTTGAATCCGGGATGCCATGATGAATTTTGTCAGCGTTGCCAGCTTACCCTAAGCGGACATTATCTTAAGGAAATACTTTACCTTTTATAATAGGCAGAATGAACGAAAACTGTTAATTAGATAAATATACATTATTACAATAAGAACTACGTCAACATATTAGCATATATATAATTATGTATGCTGAAATGAACTAAAATATATTCAATTTATAGGTAATATCGAGCAACTTTGCTTTTCTATAATTAAACGGGACAACATCGACTTTTTTTGTCCGAATTCCTTCCGCTGTTTTAGATTCGTTTGTCAGATAATATGAAAATGGGTTATTGGATGAGTAGTGGCATATCAAGAGTTGTAGGGCTTTGTCTCAACCGCTATGGTCTTTTATCGCACTAGAATAATTAACAGAGCAAACCTGTCGAAAAAAAATTAATTCGTATTTTTTATATGCAAAATAAAACCTTCAATCAAGTGATCATCACCATTCAAGTAAAACCGATAGTTAAGTTTTCCATCTCACTAGTATTAATGTAAAACACATTCCAATTTACACAATACAATTTTACAATCAAAATCCCTAGGAACCTGATAATTTTTTAAAATCTATTAAAATTTCAGTTCAAAAATTAGCTAAATATTACAATTTCATGCAATAAGCAAACATTACACAATTAGCAAAATACATCTGATATTATCTTCTGAATTTGAAAAATGAGAAAAATCAAGATTTATGACAAAGCCATTGAGAATGACAACTATCAGATAACTAAATATGTAAACGTCTTCAAGTATAGAGTATTTTTTTTCTGCTGTTATTATATGTTAATATGCATGCCTAAAATAAAACAAATGCAAACAAACTCAAATAAACCCTAAATACTATATCTCCCAATCAAAACAAATATATAGGTACCTAAGTGCAATCGGCGACATAAGATCGTAACCAGCGGCCGCCCCAGCATATTTTGCCAACTGGACTTCAGAAAATTAATTTCACTTTTGCACATGTCAATCATAAGTTCGTAATCGGACGCTATGTAATTATGGGACATGTCAGTGAACTAAAAACATACCAAAATAAATCCACAACAAAGCTGCGATGTCCCAATATTCCGTGAACATAGAACTACTACTTATTTTTGGAACCAAAATAAGTACACTGGACACAATTTACCTCTACACAAAAATGCTTCGGTTGTCCGTTGGGGGGCATCAAGCTTTAAAAAACAAGCACATTTTTTTACGATATATAATAATACTTCGAGTGCATAGGTTTTGCTAAACGCTTTAACATTTGACTTTCAGCAACAGCAAAGATATAAGGAGGGTAAAAACTGCCCTCGCTGGTGCCCTGTGGTGTAAATTCTAATAGAAATAATTTACCACACTCCATGATCTTTGATGACCTTTCAATAAGCTTCATAAATTTTATTTTTTTGGTTGTTTGGTTTATTTGTGATTGATGCCCTCTAACGGATAAACGAAGCACTTTTATATAGAGGTAAATCTAGTGTAACTTATTATGATTCCAAAAATACATAGTTGTTCTATGTCCACTGAATATTGAGACACCCTGTGTATTTTTTTTAATGGAGGTCTTTACAATAGACCAAAATGTAGTAAGTACTAGGTATTTCTCGAGGGGTGTCTCACTTAAATTAAAAAATGTACATGTACTGCCAAAATATAGATCATACCAAATAAACTTTTAGTCGCGTGATTAAGCTTGACCGACACAGTGTTGCCCACTTTTACATATTCTCTTTTAATCAAAATATTTTAGGAAACAAAAATAAATTAATTATAAATATATAAACAGTTATTGTTTACATCAACAAACTCACCTTATTAACAGCACTTAAGGGACATAAATTGCCATTACTACCGCTTTTCCGTTAAAAATATTCTGATAAACTTGTGATGACTTTTTAATAGCTATTAAGCTATCTTGTACACTTCGGACTAAAAGAGGTTCTAAAGAGAACAATGTTCGACTGCAAGGTCTGCCAGTAAGCATTTTTAAACCTAAACTTTTGTTTATTAACACTATTTATTTAAACCAAAAATTCGTAATACAAAACTAAAATGTCAATACGAATGACAATGTCAGGAAATAAATAAATAAATGTGGCAACTTGACATTTTTTACAGCAGAGCTACCACCTGAATAGCCAGCGGGAAATTTAAATTCCAATTAGTCAGCCTAGCGCCGAATATGTCCATGGTTGGCAACAAGGAATTTAAAAATCGCGCCCTCGATTACGTAACTAAAAGTTTAATTGGTATCAATATCATTTTACTCAAAAGCGATTGCCAATGACTGCGAAGAAAACTACCTATGACTGCCATGAAATTATTATAGGCGACTGCCGGCGACTACCAAGGAAACGTAACATCCCTCGGTATTTCTATTATGTATTTTTGTGACAGTTAAATGTTAAAGCACTTAGCTAAACAATGCACTCTAAGACTCATTCAAATCGGAATATCGGTTCTTAAAATATCTTTAAAAAAGTGTGTTTTTTAAGTTTGATGCCCTCTAACGGATAACCGAAGCACTTTTGTATAAAGGTAAAATGCGTCCAATAAACTTATTTTGATTCCAAAAATACGTATTAGTAGTTCTATGTCTCCGAAATATTGGGACACCCTGTATTAAATAAAATATTTTCGCTCCATTTCAGAAAACAAGTTTATTAATAGAAAATTTAGACCTTAGAGCTCGAACACACTGACAACCAGGTCGCACCGGCCAGGCCGCTGCTACCTCTAATACCATTAAATCAAATGATACCGCGCACACTAACGTCCTGGCCGTCGTCCGTTGGTCGTTGCGACCAGTAGACTGTACTAAAGTATTATAATTTTCTGCCGCTTGTTGCCGGTTTTCTTCCAAATTAATAATTTTTCAGATGAAATCCCTCAAATTCAACGCACAATATTTCATTTTCTATAAGATATAGTGTTTTAGTGTAGTTTTTGCACACGTGCAGAAAATCCAAAGAAATAGTATACAGACTGGATCAAAGGGAAACTTAAATCTAGTCCCTTTTTTTTATCAAGGGTCGATTCTAGTAAAAATTCAAAACATTTTAATATAACATACTCTATTTATGGTTGGTATTATACCTTCGAGTTTCGATGTTAAAAAATAAAAAAAAACATATTTGAAGTTTTTCTACAACCACTTGTTTTTTTTATTAAATTATTTTTTTTTTAGTTGTATTGTAGTCATGTAGAAGGAGGACAACTGTATTTTATATATTATATTTAATTTAACGTTATTCAAACAGGGTCCATTAGACTATATTTCTACTAGGTACATTATTTAAAAAAAATAAGAGTAAAAGTAACTTAAACATTCATAAACATAGAAATATTTACTGTTGTAGATTCTCAGTAACAATAAAAAAGAGAAATTTATATTGTACACATTGAAATAACTGGAAGCTAAACTTTCCAGCTGCTTATATTTAGAGCCAGTGTCTGACGACCTTTTTTTACGATGGCCCTAATATGTTTACTTCTAAAGTCGATAAGAGCCATCAGTAGAAAAAAGAAACAGAATATATATCTCCCTTTTTGTGGTCGCGCGTACACAATGCTTTTTGTTCGGCCTATTTGTTCTACTTGTTCGTGCGCGCTCGGTTCGTTCGGGCTAAAATGCCCAAGTCTGGACGCACCTTTAGGAACAATACTGTTTTTGTCCTTTATTGATATAATGCTGAAAATCTCTCGAGTTACATGTCTCACTCTGCACATATTAAATTACATAGACGTAGGATGTAGAATATTCTGTTATGAAACGACTGATGGAGTAGCAGGCATCGCGGATTTGAAAAAATGGAAATAACGACGTTATCGTATAGTCAGGGTTGGATATTTCACTTACTCCATTTACCACACCAGTATTTATTAACGAAAATTCCAAGACTATTTTAAATGCATTATTTAATATTAGAACATTTAATAAGCTCATGAATAGCAACTTCGCTTTTTAGTTAACTCGGATATTTTAGCATTTCTGAAACTTAATTCTTTCTGAAACAATATTTTCTAATTGGTAAAACGTAAAAAAATCGTTAGATCTGACAACTCTGTTGAGAGTAGTCTCATCTGGCCGCAGCTATAAACGCAATAAACGCAATACATCCGGCCAGCCGACGCGTCGGCCAGGTCACTGCGACCTGGTCGACAGTGAGTTCGAGCCCTTAAATCGTCTCTCAATATTTTAAATTTTTAAGATTTAAATCTGCTGTAACAGAAATATACTCCCTACATTAGCACAAACATCACTTAAGGTGTTTAATGTAATATAAATGTTTATATAAAAATATATATTTTTTTATTAAATCCATACAAAAATAAAACAAAGAAAGAGATTCCTAAAAAAATCAAATACCCCACCCAAGTAGCATTTGGACGTTATCCAACGTCGGGTATACGTCGCGTTCAATAAACCCGACGTCGGGTAGCAACGTCGGTTCGACCACCTGACGACCCTTATTTGCACCTAAATGGGGAATACAGATTCGGGTCGCCTCGACGTCGGTATCTGACCTAATAGGGAATGTAATCCTACCAATTACCAACGTCATATTAAGTTGGATTTTAGTTACTTAAAATTCGTCGCTAAGCACTTACGTTACGTTTGGTTTCATATTCGCTACCAAGAATACATAAAAACCTAACCAAACTACCTAATTACAAATGAATTCATAATCACTCCTCGAATATAACTATAAGTGCCTATCTAATTTCATATTATAATAATTCTGAATCATTAATCCAGACATCAGTTTTGTCAAACGGAAGTCACTTTTTTTATATCTGATTAAAATACTCCGAAAAACAACGAGCGCCTTCAAAATTAGGTAGATTTATGAAATAAAAATATCTATAAAAAGTAACTCGCAAAATACTTTTTAATTTTCTAGCTGGTTTAATCATAAAACTGTACTGTGGTTCTCCCCAAACTCAACCTTATCAATATTATTCTACTAGAAATCGAAATGTGAATATAAATTTTAAAACAAAAACGATTTTAAAATGGCTGACTATCTGATACTTGTAAAGAATGGCGGATTTCTGTGTCCGACTTAATATGAACTACCAATATACCAATTCCGACCGGGTCTCCAACATTAGTCGTCTCACACGACCGAAGTCATCAAACCGGACGACCGGCAATCGTATTATGACGTATATAATTCCAACGTACGCCACGTAACCTCACTTTGCGTATCAGTGATTTGTGGATTTGTGCAACTATATTTTAGTTTTTGTTTTCTCATTAAAAAAAATGGGCAGCCACTTTTTTAAGCCTAACCTCACATGTGGGAGGCGGATAGGGTCTGCTGGTTTCCTAAGCTAAAAAATGAAATTAAGATGCACCAGTGTAATGCAGCATCTCTTCCGGATAAAAAGCATTTATGGGTGGAGGCAAGACATCACTACTACTATTATTATTTTGCAAAAGCCTCGACCTCTTTCTGTAAAATGTAGATGAATGTCTAAATGCCTTTTTAGTGTTTTTTAGGCGTAAATTAAGTATGTTTACTTTTGTAAAAACTTTTTATTAGGTTATATTCATGATGTTCATTAGGTCGCAAATACTACTTAATGGGTTGTATTTACGGACGTAAATAGAGATACGTAAATTAGGTTATAAATATGAACATAAAATACAACAAAATATAATTGGACGTTAGTTTAGGGATTATCAGTGAGACGTATCCTATTCGGACAACGGGTAGACGTCGGGCTAGTTCAAGTATATGTACGTCGTGCAAGCCAACGTGGGAACGACGTTGGGAAATTTAATAAATATGGTACGTTGTTATTTTGTACGTCGACAGATCGTTGGATTTACCGACTCGGATCCAACAACGTCGCTTTTAATAGGAAAGCGACGTCACCGGTCGTATCACCAGCACCCGACCTAAATTTGCACAAAGTCTGACGTCGCTTCAGGTCAGATTTAGTTCGAAGTCAGATAGATGCTACTTGGGCAGGTTTATTAAAAACGGTCAAAATTTAGGGTAAATGAATATATTTTAATTTTATTAATGATTAAGAAAATAGAATCATAATAAGATACCTAACATTTTTGAAATATGTTGGATCTCTTTGTGAGTGTGGACACAAGCCTAAAGTTAAATACAGAAAAGGCAAACCGGGTATAAAATGACTGAAAGATATACATAAGAATCAATTATTTGTTTATACATGATGAGTCTTAAATAAGTACAAAATTTTTTAGGGATAGGTAGTATAATTCAACCCCATAAACACTATTATGATTTTTTTTTGCGAAAAAAAAATGAAAAATTTTTGGAAAAAATGTTTGGCATTTTTTTTGTTTTTAGTTAAAAACATAATTTCCAACATAGGTAGTAGATTAAATTTACAAGTAAGAACAACCCAGAAGAGATCCAGTGGTTCTTTAAGAAAAAAAAATTTGTAAATTTTCTTAGAAAAATAATTCGGTTATTTTGGGCTTATTTGAAAAACGGTAACGAGAAAATATGCTTCTTTTATCGAGATCTACCAGCCCTAAAAATACTTGCAATTATTTAAAACGCATTCTGTATAATTAATAAATAATTGTATTACCCTGGACTAAGCTTAATGACGTTCAATATTTACAATGTATACTTACTTGTGGTGTAAAAGCAAATATCTTGTCTCCAAGAGAATACAATTTACTTGTACTTAAAATACCAACATCTCTAGATTTTCTTCCCGTTAGTCCTAATTTCTTATTTCTACCTAAATAAGTGTATAAATGAGACAAAACCCTTGCTGGTTGTACCTGAAATAAATTGGTGTCATGTTATTTTTACGCTCTTTTTCTGTAATAAATAATATATACAGTCATTTTTCCAAAAATCAAAAACAAATCCAAAGAGTCAAGATTTAAAAACTGACAAAATAATATTATATAAACTAAAATTTAAATATTTTTATTAAAAAATAAAAATAAAATAAAATAAATTATGTAACTAATAAAATAAACGTAATTATATAGAAACTTACCTCAATTGGAGCCACATCTGCAACCGTTTGTACTAATATGTCATGTTCTACTAACTGGTTTTGTATCTCAACATCTTCGGCTAATATTACAACTTGTACTACTACATCAGGTTTTTTCTCAGAACATAACCTTCTATTAAGTGGATCTAGTTCACCAGGAGCTAAGAAGTTCTAAAAAAAAATTAAAAAATTAAAAAACAATTAACTGTTTTTTTTTTTAAATTTACCTCTTGTACTAGTTTTCCAATAATATAAAGGGATTGTGCCCACAAGAATGGACTTTGACCTAAAGGTATCCTATATTGAGAACCAGGTTCTTTATATTCTGCAGCAACTAGTTCTGCAGGTACTGCATATAATTCTGGTACTAGTTTTATACCATCATCGGTTCGTATCATAATCTAGAAAACAATAATGATAAACAAAAATAATTTTATTAATAATTCAAATAATTGTATGTTTATATTGTTTATTACCTCTTCTAACTGTTCTGTATATTCTAAAGCAGCATCTCTATCACCCATAAATAAGGCATCTAGTATTAAATAACAGAAAAACATAGGCCATTCGCATTCTATATTTTCAAACATCCTTAACTCCCAGGGTTCATAATACAGCCTATTTGGATCCTATAAATAAATAACAAAAAAACCTCATAAATCATAACGGTTTTCATAAAAATGCAAGCAGTAAAAATGATTCATATATACAGGGTGGTCCGAACTGTATTCCGGAAACTTCGCCAGCATATTCTGCAGTTAAAAATAAGTAAAAAAGTTTGTATAAATGTGTGTCCTAAAATGCTTAGTTTCGAAGATACAGGGTGTAGAAGTTTCATTTTTATTTCGATTTTTTCCAATAATTTCTGAAGTACCGTCAATATTTGGATGAAAATTGGCGTCTGGGAGTTTTTGACATGAGAAATTTGATTTTAATGTCAATATGACTCCTATTTGTAGAGGGCGCCATCTACATGTGTTTTAATGTTTTAACTGTTTTGGGGAGTAATAACTTTTCGTCCGTGCCTGTATAAAACTACTGAGTGAAAAAATATACATTTCCGTGATTTTTTACGTAAAAAATGTCTCTTGGTAAAAGTCGCTACGAACAACCGTTCTCAAGATATTTAGAATGGAAATAGGGAAATAGTCAATACATGTGTAGACAGATATATGACTGAAATGATAAATTTGGGAACTTTTTTTTTAATTAATCTTAAATTTTTCTGAGAAAAAAATGATGATAAAGAACTTTTAGCACAAAAACATTTCAAATTTATGATTTCAGCCTAATAACTATTTAGTCAACATGCTTAATTTATGACAAAGATGACAGGTTTTGATAATTTCGATTAGGTTAGGTCAAATATCTCGAGAACCATTACTCGTAGCGATTTTTACTAAGGGACATTTTTTTACGTAAAAAACGTTGTAAATGCATATTTTTTTACTCAGTTGTTTTATACAGGTACGGACGAAAAGTTATTACTCTTCAAAATAGTTAAAAATATGTAGGTGGCGCCCTCTACAAGTAGGAGTCATATTGACATGAAAATCAAATTTGTCGTGTGAAAAAACTCCCAGACACCAATTTTCATCCAAATATTTACGTTACTTCAGAAAATATTTGGAAAAAATCGAAATAAAATTATAACTTCTACACCCTGTATCTCCAAAACTAAGCATTTTAGAACATATTTTTTACATATTTTTCTCTGCAAAATATGCTGCCGAAGTTTCCGGAATACAATTCGGACCACCCTGTATACTTCCTAATATAAGTATAGTAAACGCCACGAATGTTTGGGAGTGATTTATTGGTCGCTACCGTGTAAACTAATCTGTTCAAGGTCACATAAAACTTAATTCCAGTGCCGTGATGTTTCAAGTCATATAATAATCAATATATAATCTGTTGTAATTTGTTGTTTTAACTATCAAAGTCTTGTCAAAACATATATTTGGTTATAAATATAAAGTGGAATGCCCCATTGGTCGCACTGCAAACACACCAATGGACTGACGCACAAAAACGAATCAATCAAAGAAACGCGATATAGTATCATCACGGCATATAAATCACAGGGCAGGCCGACTCGCTTTGGCGGGAACGCTACGCGCATATCCTCGCGCACGCCGCCATTTGCGTTTCCATCAACAGAAAGTAACCAGTGTCGTAGTTTTTTCAGCGACAACACACAGTTACGGCAGATTCGGGTCAGTAGCGTGCGATTTAATTTATTTTGATTTTTTCTTGAGTGATATATTTTGTTTTTGTTGTTTTATTTTTGTTTATTATGTGATATATTTGGGTTTTCTAGTTTTATTTTGGTTTCTTATGTATTATAATTGCTAAAAGGTGCCCGGTGGCGTAGAGGTACAGGCTCTCGTCTACCAATCTCAAGGTAGTGGGTTCGAATCCCACACCCGGCATTTCATCAGCCGACAATTTTTAGTAAAATAAAAATAGTTTGGGTACCTAGGTCGACTCAGCCTTAAATAAGTACTTGGGATTGACAATCCTGAGGTAACGCGAAATTTCGAGAAATAATAGGCGATTGAAGCGTAGTGCTAGCCACATTACCTTCCTTTGTATACCGAACGGCTCTAGTATGGCAAGCTGTAACTTGCTACTCCCAAGGCGTCAAACACTATATACGGGAGCTATTATTATTATAATGTAATATAATTTGTTTTAGTAGTTTTATTTTTGTTGTTCAATAAAAGATTCTTTCTGTTTCCTATATATGTGATTAATTATTTTAACATATTTTAGTTGTGAAAAAAAAACAGTAGTATACATATTAGGAGATTCAGCTAAATAGGAAGATCTAATTAAAAATCTTAACAAACTTTAATATTAGTAAGATTTAATGTTAAATATTTAGTAAAATTTAATGTTGTATCTAGACATTAAAAATTAAATTTAAAAATCATTATACCTACTAATATTTAAATATAATTATAAAAGTAAATAAAATGAGTATATCTAAAATAAGTTAACAATACATTTTGAAGATATAAATAAGGCCCACAAAAGGTACAAATTGCGTTCTGATCATTTTGAATTTAAAATGTTTACCAATTCACTTTGTAACCGTATAAAATATAATGCGGTACCTACTTTGTTTCCTGCTGAAAAAATAGAAGTTTCTCAAAAAATTGTGGATTTATTAATTTGTGAAATTTGAATATTAATAAAATTTGCTACGCCCATTGATGGGCATAATTTGTACGTAGCCTCTTTATATTGTTCAATAAATATTTTATTGGTATTTCTTTAATTCTTGTTTGTAACTCCTGGCATGTTTTTGTTAGTTGCATGTTTTTTTAATTTTAATTGTCTATTCTCTACAGTGAAATATTTAATTGATTTTTTCATTTTTACTTGTCAAGAAGTAGGCGCGGTTAAGGATTCATTTGTTTGGACAAAAGTATTGTGTAAATAAAATTCAGTTTCAGTCAATTACAGTATTTTTTAATACGACCCTGTCGTATTTTCTGAGAAATTTTTTAATACGTTTTAATCCGACCCTGACTAGGAAACGATAATGGCTCCGTCAAGGTCAAATTTTATAGAAATTTTAAACCAAGGAATCTGAGCAGAGTTGGCGCGCCGATTGTTTTATGTGTCGTGGTATCGTCTTTGTCAATTACGCTAACATTTTAGAATAAGTAGGAGGAGCGCAGGCAGATGATTAGACCGGGCTTTTAATAACCTACGTCTGCGGTAAACATTTATATTTTTAATGTAAAAATAATAGCGCGCGTGTCAATTCTAACTTCATCAAGCGATGAATCACTCCCAAACATTCGTGGCGTTTACTATAATTTAGGTTCATTATGTGTATTACGATTATGAACCTAAATTCAACTATTCCCGAATTATAAAGTTTTGATGTTGAAATGCTAAACGAAAATTTTGTAATTTCCAGACTTGATATAATCTCATTTTACACATCTATAAATGTTAACATGAAAATTAATGTCAAATATTATTAAGTATCATAGTTTCCGCAGAACGGGATTGTTAAATGAAACCGAACACATCGAAATTAATTAAATCAAATTGTTTAAGTGATATTTTCGAAAGTCAATAACTCGAAAACGGTTGGTTTAAGGTACATTGTGTGTATTTTCATTTTTGCTTAGAATTGAAAAAAGAACCCAAATATGCAATGATAAACAGGGGGCTCCTTTTAAAAAAATGAAACTTTGATGTGCCACGACTTTATGACCGACGCTGTATACTTAAATTTATTATCCGCTAATAGATATTTAAAAAACCCTATAGCTTTTATATTTAACTTTTTTTATAAACACAAAATAACCTCTTATATTTTACCTAATAATCGACCGTTCCCATACATATCAGCGACCCTATATATACCGGGTGCGTCTCAAAAGTGGCTCACCCCCTATAACTTTTTTATTTTTACAGATAAAAAAAAACGAGATTTGGTATGTTAGTATACAACATAAATCATGATTGATTGACGTATTCAATTGTTTTTGGTGACTTCCTGTTTCACCGGAAATTAATCTTATTTTAAAATTCAATCTGGAGTGCCATGGTTACATCAAAAACACTAATCCTTAATCAAGGGGCCTTGGAAAAATAGATTTGATCGTCTAATGTTTTTAGTGTCTTGTCCTGGCCAGTTAGAAAACGCACAAATCGTATTTTTTATCATATCTCAATTTTTTCAAATGGAACGCATATTTCAAAAAAGCATCTTTTAGCGAATAATTTGATACCACACACTTGGTTGTAAAATTTTCGTTACAAACCGCAACTTATAATTTCAAATAAACCATATGCGAGAATGTCAAAGTTGATACATGATATGTCATTCTATTCAGAATATCATTTTCTATCGAAATATCGTGCCATTTAAAAATTAAAAGTTTTAGTCATTTCCGGTGAATCAGGAAGTGACCGAAAACAATTGAATATGTCAATCAATCCTAATTTATGTCATATACTTGTTAATACCAAATTTGTACCAAGCTCGTTTTGTTAACTGAAAAAATAAAAAAGTTATAGGGGTGAGCCACTTTTGAGACGCATCCGGTATATTACATGGTACCAGACTTTTTTTACATACTGTATGTACTAATATCTTTTTTAAATAATTATTCTTCTTGCAATGGGTGGATGATTAAATGGGTTGATGATCTGTTATATGTTATTCTGTGTGTTTTTTCTTTAGAATATTGTATTACTTAGTCTTTTATTTTTTAAGTTTTTATTATACATGTATTGTATGTACTAGAATTTTGATATTGTATGCACTAATATCATTTATCTTCTTATATTTCTGTTTACTTTTTGGGTCAAATTGAATTTTACAAATTAATATAATCATAAAATGAGTAATCAGAATGAAAAATACAAACATGAATAAAATAACTTTTTCTTACCTCTTTTGGTGTCTTATACCCATCCCTTAAAAATCGTTTACAACCATATTTACCCATCAACTTTCCAATAATTGTATCTTTAGTAAAATTTCTCAAAGCTGGATCATCCACAGCAAATGCAGGAAAACCTATAACTGATAACAATCCACTATCTATTTCTTTTGAACTTGACTCTCTTGGAAGCATGGACTGTAATATAAATAACATGTAAAACAATATTCTAAATTCCATTATTTTTTTATTACAATATTATTCCGTTTACTATTAGATGGTATTATATCAATGATGGTCTAATATCTTGAAGAAATGCTTTGAGTGAAAAATATCATACAATTGAAAAAACCAACAGAGTTGGCTTGGAACTGCCAATTGATGACATTCACCATATAATTTTACATGTAAAATGGCATACATTTTTATTAATTATTTTTTAAAACTTCAGATATTAATTGAAGAGCACACAGGAAAAACGATGAGAGTCCAAAAACGATGAGATACCAAAAACAATAAATGTTCAGGAGAGAGCTTTTTAATTCAAATTACGCATGGACTTTTACAGGTTTTTCCATTTTTAAATGCCTGTTTATATGTATGTGACCTTTATCAATATTCCCATTTATTGAGGTACCAAAAGGTGTAGCTTTTTAAGAAGAAAAATATGATGCATTAAGCTTGATTTCCATGCATCAGTTGTCCGACGATACGTTGATACAATATTAATTTCATTGGCTGTATTTAAAGGCTTCGATTGGTTAACCATTTCTAACCAACCGAAATCTTTAAATTCAACCAATAAAATTAATATTGTATCATCGTATCGTTGGACAACGGATGCATGAAAATCAAACTTTAAAATCAAATTAGCAAAAAATGGATTTTTATCATTTTTCCAGAGTGCTCTTCAATAGTATTGTATCTCAAATATATTTTATATGTAAAAAGTCTGTTCAGTAAGAGAGTTTCACTTTTAAACTAAATTAATAGACAACAACTGTCATTATCAGGTACAAGTCTATTCTCTTGATGGACAGATTATAGTTATGTGAAATTTCTCATTATAATAGAACTCATAACCTTTCAATGCAGTGAGGTAGATTCGATTTTATTATAAACATTACTACCATGTATAAAGTCAAATATAAAAGTAAATAAAACTCAAAATAATACAATCCTTTATCTAATACCTGTAGGACAGCTTGACATTTTTGTGCTTCATCTGTCAAGACATGTATAACACTGTAGGGTCCTCCTCTGGCCCCAAACAAATCTAACTCATTCATAGCTTCTAAAGCAGCCTTGGCCATTCCAATGGAGCTAGCATTTAGTTCAGGCAATCCATGGTTTGATTTATCTCCTCTTTCCCATATACCATAATCGGGAGTGCAATAAGCACACTCAATGTAAAATACGAGATTTTGAATGAATGCCACCTCATCCAAATTAAAAACAATCTAAAATCAAGTTAAGGATTATACTATTATATGAATGTGATATAAAATAATTTAAAATAATTAATTTAAATACAATACAGATATACATAAGACAAGGAGAATATATAAGACTACTATACCTGAAGTCCTGATGCTGTCATCTCAGCTAGAACTAAGAGATAAAGAGAAATAGCATCAATTTGTAAATGACCCCATTCATTGTCTCCGACAACAATTTGGCCAGTTTGCGAGCAATATTTTGCATGTAAAGAATCTAATGGATTTTGAGTTTGTTTAAATCTACAAATAAGTTTACAAAATTTCTACTTTTCTATAATGGAAATAATCTTTACCTTTCAACTTTTTCCTTTTGTTGCATCATAGCCATTAACAAGCCCCTCATTAGCTTAACACACGACTGTTCCAGTTCATAGGTCTTGGCTCGATCCTCATCTTGATCTGCCATTTTTTTATAAGCCATCGAAAGCCCCCAAACAGACATAACACAGTACACGTTATTTCGTATCCAAGCATGATTATTAGTGTCGTTTAATGGGAATAAGCCAGTTACTGGATTCTGTTTAGACATAATAATTTTGTGAACTATCCTTTGGTAATAATCTAACCTAACACCGGAATTACTTCTGCTTCTCATCTTGTAGTTCGGATTTATTAAGTCTAGGTTCGATTTTTACTCCTTGCCCTAATTTATCAGAAATTTATTAACAATTTTAATATATTACAATGACATTACAATGACAAAAAGTCAAATATATTTATTTTTATTTATTTTTTGCAAATGACAGTTGACACATAACCTAAGGTAATGAGGGTTGTTACCTAGTAAATTAATGTACTGAAACATGCAACATTTTGTACTCAAATACTTTTAAAATACTTTTTCTAGAACATTATTATTTCTCAAACTAACAGCCATGACCAAGGTACAGAGTGTACCAAATAACCCGTTCAGTATAATAAAACTTATCTTTGTCATTTCCGGAAATATGGCTGTAAAACTGATTTCCGGTCTTCGGTTTTATTTTCTAATGAGCTTGTCTTGACAAAAAAAACCACCAATATATTATCAAAGAAAATTTTTTAGCTTTATCCTTTAGTGATGCCAAAAACCACATAAAAGTCATTTCTTTTTTTTCTGTTATGCTTTTTTCTAACTAAAGTATAAATATTCGGGCTAATAAGTGGAATTTATATTATAAACTTTATTGGGACATCATGTAGAGTTTGAAATAATATAAAAATTAAAAAACCGCAATGCAAAAATAATCCTATATTTGATACCAATTAAACTTTTAGTTACATAATCGAGGGCGCGATTTTTAAATTTATTGTTGCCAACCATGGACATATTCAGCGCCGAGCTGACTAACTGGAATTTAAATTTCGCGCTGGAGATTCAGGTGGTAGCTCTGCTGTAAAAAATGTCAAGTTGCAGTATTTATTTATTGATTTCCTGACAATATCATTCGTTTTGACACTTTATAGTTTTGTATTACGCGTTTTTGGTTTAAATAAACAGAGGTATAAACGAAAATTTAATCTTAAAAATGTGTACTAGCAGACCTTGCAGTCGAACATTGTTCATTTTAGAACCTCTTTTACTGCGAAGTATACAAGATAGCTTAATAGCCGTAAAAATCCCATCACAACTTTATTAGAATGTTTTTGAACGGGAAAGCCATAGTAATTAATGGCCCTTTATGTCCCTTAAGTGCTGTTAAGAAGGTTAGAGTTTTGTTGATGTAAATAATAACTGTTTATATAGTATTTATAATTAATTTATTTTTGTATCCTAAAATATTTTTATTAAAAGACATATATAAAAGTGGACAACGCTGTGCCGGTCAAGCTTAATCACGCGACTTAAAGTTTATTTGGTATGAACTGTAGGTACATAATTTCAAAAAAAATATTCTCTACCTAATTACGATTTTCCTCTGAACCTACGCGTCTTTTGCAAGACGCCACCCTATATAGCGACAGAAAAAAACCTTTTTTACCTTTTACTAATTTTCATTCAATACGGTTAGTTAAGAAAATGTCTTCATTCTTAATTAATTGGTAAATTGAGGGAGCATCATTTCTGTTTTTATCTTTGTCATGCGCGCCCTCCTAAGATCAGTTTCAATAGAAAATATATCTCTTGTAGTTTTTGCAACTTTTTGGTTCGTTTCAGTTGCATGTCCGTCAAAAAAATAGTTCGAAATGTTCGTTAAGTGCATTATTCCATTAATTGTTTTATACATTTTAAGTGTGTGTAGTCAAAGAATCACTATAGACCCGAAAAGAATTCAAGAAACTATTAGAAGTATTCAAACTGAAACACTGGAGCTGTAAGTAAAATAATTGTTCATTATAATAATTCTAAAACAGTAAAAAAAAACAGTCGTTTTATAAGAATTAAATATATACGGTGGTATTGATGGAAAACAAATATTTTGGATAGTCTTTAAAAAAATTTATCGTGCGTAAGGGCATTCCGATGATGCTGTTAAAATCTTGGCGCCAAGACGTCTCTTTACTATTGATTTTTGGGATTGTCTTTCTCAGCGATTGTGGCCCATTTCTTATCTTAAACTTGTAAATCATAATTTCTGAATATTTTTTATCATATTTTTACATCATTTCCACCTAAATAGTATATTTTTACACTTAGGGCCAATTATACAGGGTGGCGCACCTCATTCGCCTCGGTTGATTATACGAAAACGGAAAGATGTAGAAACAAAATATTTTATGGGTGTATGTGGGGAGGCAATGTGCACAATTTAAAATTATTTTAAAATATACAGGGTGGTGTTTCAGAACTAAGATCCATACCAAAGTTATATTTTTTCTTATGGAACACACACCCGCTATTTTATTTCATTTTTGGATGTTTAAAATCTTTGATTTTTGAGATATTTAAATATGCATGCTACAAAAGAATTGATTATTAACACCCTGTACATTAGTTTTCAGAATTAATTCTTGTGCTGGGTTTAAAGGTAAAGAAATAAACTTTACTAAAAAATGTTATTGCTTCCTTAAATTTATACAGGAGTACCAAAAATTGCTGGTCTTTTTTAAATATTTATTTGACATAAAAACTTCGTTATTTCAAGTACCACATTTTTTTGATAAATCGAAGCAGATTCAAATTATAGTTGAGGGTTGGAACCTTTGGTGTTACACAGCAAAATAAAATTACACTAAATCACCACAATACACCAAAACACTTTTACTTTTACACTGGACGCGCGTTTCGCTAACCATGTTAGCATCATCAGCAGATGATTATAAACTCAAATAGATTTAAATGCTCTTTCAAACTATATTAGGGTTTCCTATACCTATTTAGCTCAGATTTTGAATAAAGATCGATTTTTCTATAAAATGGAGAGGGGCTAGTGTCGTCAGGGCAAGTTTCTAGTGACAATTAGTAGCTATTTTCAAAATCGAAATTAGTTTATAGACTTTATTTAAATTTATACCAGTTTACTTTTATTTAATTTACCTACAACAGTTTAATAAATAATATTTATTAATGTATTTATTATTCTGTCAAGAAAAACGAGGAAGTAGTTCTTTGTTTTATTTTACGATGACTTGTAGATATATGGATTTTCTATAAAAGAACCAATTACGGCAAATTCAATTTCTTCACTTCCAACGACAGGTTGCTTTCTGCCTAATAGCGTTGATTGAAAGAACTATCAACGCTAATAGAGTTTTTTTTAAACTACACTACCAACTCTGCGAAATAGGACAAGTACCTAGTTTTTCAAAGGAACGCTTATCAGAAAGATTCCTATTTATAACTTTGAGCATAAGTTCTTGAGGCCAAGAAATAATTTTCCTCACAAAATAAAATCACTAGTAACATATTCATTCGTTCCACCAGCAGATACGACTTTATTTTTCTTCATAAAAAGAATACTTACTTATTAAACTATTGTGGGTAAATTTTAGTAAACTGTTTAAATATTAATATCCATAAACTAATGTCGATTTTGAAAATAGTTACTATATAACTGTGACTAGAAAATTGCCAGAGCGATACCAGCCATCTTGATTGCCATTTTATTTAAAAATCGCTTTTTATTCGAAATCTGATATAGATAGGTATAGGAAACCCTAATCTAGTTTAAAAAAGCATTTGAATCTGCTTCGATTTTTTTTAAAAAATACAGGGTGTTGCATTTGAAATAACGGCATAAGGAAATAAGTTTTTATGTAAAATAAATCTTTAAAATAGATCACCAATTTTTGGTACCCCTGTATAAATTTAAGGAAGCAATAACATTTTTAGCCGACCATACTAATATGTATGGTAGGCTATTAAGATCGGCAAAAAAACGTTTTTTTTTTAATTTCACTCAAAATGAGTTATTTGAGCAAAATAAAAACACTAAATCACCACAATACACCAAAACACTTTTACTTTTACACTGGACGCGCGTTTCGCTAACCATGCTAGCATCATCAGCAGATGATTATAAACTAAAGTACAATCTACAAGTTGAGCGTTTATATACTCGCTCAGTGGGCACCGAGTGGGCGTGGCAAAATCTAGCCAACCGAGTCAGAGCCCACTGAGCGTAACAGTTAGATTTCCCGCCACTAGAGTAGTAGGAACAAAGAACTTGAAGGAATTGGACCGTTGTCTCTGTTCATACTATCTTTACATTTATTAATTCTGATGCTTTCATATGCATCTAATTGCCTGTAATTTGAGACTTGTTTAATTAATTTTAAATTATTAAGATCTATACAATGTTCTTTATGAACAATATGTTCGGCAACGCAAGATTTATCCGGTTTACCATATCTTATCTGAGCTAAATGTTCTTTAAATCTAGTTAATATTGATTTTCTAGTTTGCCCAACATATTTCTGATTACAATCTTTACAAGAAATTTCATAAATACCCGACCTTTCCAGTGGAGGTGTTTTATCCTTTGGATTACCTAATAATTGTTGTAATTTATTATTAGCACTATACACAAGTTTATAATTGACATTCTTAAAAATTCCTTTTAGACCACGGGATAACTCTCTATCAAACGGTATCGAAAAATATTTAGACGTATCTTTCTCCACTTGAAAAGTCGAATTTTCAGAAATCATTAACCTATACCTACGTTTTCTAATTAATTTATCAACTAGTGAAGGAGAATATCACACTCAGCTTAAATAATAGCATAAATGACCTAAATACAAAATATTTTCATGGTGTCTGTCTGTCCATCTGCCGTCTGCCGTCTGTAACACGATAACTCAAAAACCGCTGAACCGATTTTAACCAAATTTGGCACAAAAATACTGTGGCACCCGAGAATCTGGCCATTAGTTTTTGATGGTGGTGGGGGGTTGGTAAGGGGGTATGGGAGGGGATTAAAAAGGGGTTAGAGGGGGTTACACTAGCTAGCGAAACGCGGTTTTTAAATTAAGATTAGGAATAATATTTGCAACAAAATTTGTAATAACATCAAAATTAGTCAAAGTCGGAGTTTTCGAGATATTAACATATTTTAGTATGGGCGGCTATACGGCCTCTCGGCGCCAATTTTTTAGTAAAGTTTATATCTTTACTTTTAAACTGAACAAGAATTAATTCTGAAAAGTGATGCATAAGGTGTTAATAATCAATTATTGTATCTTGTAGCATGCATATTTAAATATCTCAAAAACCAAAGATATTAAACATATTTAACCTTTATAATAAATGCCCCAAGAATCCAAAAATGAAATAAAATACCGGGTGTGTTCCATAAGAAAAAATATAACTTTGGTATGGATCTTAGTTCTGAGACACCCTGTATATTTCAAAATAATTTTAAATTGTAACCTAACCTAACCCATAAAATAGTTTGTTTCTACATCTTTCCGTTTTCGTTATAATCAACCGAGACGAATGAGGTGCGCCACCCTGTATACATTTTACGGTATAATTTAAACTTGAATTATTTCAAAGATTCAACTTTTAGTTTTTACAAAAATCCACAACTCGTGTATGCCGTTAGTCAAGTATCTTTTTCAAAATACATAGCACATAGATACGTTTCAACATTCTCGATATTTTGTCATATATATAATACTGTATGACCGAAAAAAAAACAGCGTCAGCGATGGCTATGAAATAAAGATCGCTGTCATTTATGTGAATTTATATGGGAAATGTAATCGATCGTCATTTCCCAGCGAACTGTACGCCTTTTTTTCGATCAGACGGTATAACTTTTTGTATACCGTGTAGTGCATCGCAACGCGGAACATAGGAAATCCCATATAAATTTTGAAAAGATCAAATATTATCTTCCCAGATGATTTTATGCAAAAATTGTATTTACTTACACATACTTACTGCCGCATTACTCGCTGACGAGTATTTGACACTCATCAGAAGATGGTTACGCAGTTTCTTTCATGAGCTTTTGTATAGCTTCTCTGGGCCGTATTATAAGTTTTACTATTTCTAAAAAATTAACAAAGTTTAGTCAGCTAGCTATGCGTATAACATATTGAATAATTTGAGCTTTAATAAAAATATACGACATATTTTATTACGAAAAAACAATATTTTATGTCAGAAAATTTTATTTTTTGTTTGAACGAAAACAAATTGAATCATTTTCCATAAATTATAATTATAAAATATGTAAATACAAAATATATAAATAAAATACTTAATAAACTACTTGTTAACACAAATGTTACTGCTATGACACCATCATTCGCATATCATTCTACTTTTCTTGCAATCAAACATCACCGTATTGTGTATTACGTATTACACTGTTTTTTCGCAGACTTACATATTTGTAGAACCGTTATCCGCAAAATTTAGATCCTATTGCTGCAGGTTTTCTTGCCACACTCTCATTACCAAAATCATCACTATTTTGTGATATTTTTTCCTAATTTTGGATTTGTTCAAGAATTTGGATAAATCTAGGTTAGTTATACCAATCCCGAGTAAAATGTATTGTTCAATCATTAGGCATTTAATACCGTATGATCGAAAAAAAAACGGCTTCAGCGATGGCTATGAAATGAAGATCGCTGTCATTTTCTATGTAAATTTATATGGGAAATGTCATTAATCGTCATTTCCCAGCCAACTGAACGCCGTTTTTTTTTCGATTATACGGTAAATAATATTTTTCCCATTTGTTGCATACCCTTTGACACACTGTACAAGGTGGACCATTTTGATTGTTTCTATAGGATATCTAGGAAACCGTGAAAAATATTCAAATTTTGATACTACAGTCTCGGGTTCTTTTTTTGAAAAAATTACAATGGCGCAAACGGATCGTGGCTATCTTGATCGGTTTCGAAGCTACAGGGGGATTCTCAAATTTTGTATTTTTTGAAGATGTTCGATAGTTTGTTTATTTCAGCAACCACGGAAAAATGAATTATACATTCTAAAGGCACTTTTCTGTGTAGAATGCAGTGGCGTAGTCAGACTTTTTTCGAAAAAAATATTTTTTGAGATATTAACTATACTTATGATTTTTAAAATAGAACCCTCTATATATTTTTAAATTTTCTTATTGAGCTTGGCATGGGCTTCTCGAAAATATATAACACTCTATATTTATTTTCACTATTAACCTCAACATTTCAAATGTTTCTTAAAATATCCACTTAGTAGATAGTAGGCCGCGCCGAGTAACAAATGGATAACTTTGATGGATGCCATTTCATTTCAACAGATTGAAGTGTGTGTATTTTAAATAATAAAAAAAAATGAGTAAATTTGAAAATTTTCAGAAATATAATATGTTTGGTATAGAAATGTTATATTGAGTCTAACAAACATAAGCAAATGGCAGCTGATTTATATTTTGAGCGGTATTCAGAGCGCGAGCAACCAAACCCAGCCATTTTTAAAAGGTTAGAAAATAGTTTAATCAATTTTGGATCTTTTAAAAACCGCGTCTGAAAAATTATCAGAAAGAAGATGAATAAAATCAATATATTAATGTCCTCGGAGCCGTAAGCCGTAACACTAGATCCAACAACATCAAGTAGGTATCAACTCTGTCTAGATAATAATGGGCAGCAGTCTGAACATTTAATGTAGTCTTTGTGTTTTTATTTTTTTTATATTAACTGAGAAGCCCGATTGAAGTAACCTCTTGAGTTTATATTAAAATATGTTTTTTTGTTTCTGTCACACTTATTTTTTATTTGCTTCGTATTGTTCAATTTTATTTAATTGCTAATTCATGTATTCGGCTCCGAGGACATTATTATATTGATTTTCTTCATCTTGGTTTTTCTTCACGCGGTTTTTGAAAAGATCCAAAATTGATTAAACTATCTTCTAACCTTTTAAAAATGGCTGGGTTTCATTGCTTGCGCTCTGGATACCGCTTAAAATATAAATCAGCTGCCATTTGCTTATGTTTGTTAGACTCAATATAACATTTCTATACAAAACATATTATATTTCTCAAAATTTTCAGATTTACTCATTTTTTTATTATTTAAAATACACACACTTCAATCAGTTGAAATGAAATGTCCCGCATCCATCAAAGGCATGTTCCGATCACCATGACAACCGTTTACTTTGTTACTCGGCGCGGCCTACTATCTACTAAGTGGATATTTAAAAAAAAAATTTAAAATGTTGAGATTAATAGTGAAAATAAATATAGAGTGTTATACATTTTCGAGAAGCCCATGCCAAGTTCAATAAGAAAATTTAAAAATATACAGGGAAAATACTATTTAAAAAAACATAAATTTAGTTAATATCTCAAAAAATATATTTTTCGAAAAAAGTCTGACTACGCCACTGCATTCTACACAGAAAAGTGCCTTTAAAATGTATAATTCATTTTTCCGTGGTTGCTGAAATAAACAAACTATCGAACATCTTCAAAAAATACAAAATTTGAGGATCCCCCTGTAGCTTCGAAACCGATCAAGATAGCCACGATCCGTTTGCACCATTGTAATTTTTTCAAAAAAAGAACCCGAGACTGCAGTATCAAAATTTGAATATTTCACCACGGTTTCCTAGATACCCTATAGAAACAACCAAAATGGTCCACCCTGTACACGATATTTACATCATATTGTAAGTTAAAACGTAACATATCGCTATTCATTACAGCGTTGAAAAATGGTCAAAAGAAATCGGCGAAACACTGATAAATTTGAGCCTTACCATGACAAGAGAAGACAAAGTTAGAAAGGTAAATAAATACAGTATGATCAAAAAATATATTCAAACTGACAGTTAAGCAAATTCAAATGTAGATTTCGAAGAATTTTTATCTGTCTATATTATATATCCTAGATCTGGTTATATTCTTTCAGAAAATTGGTATATTATTAGCATTTCTTTATCTAGTATCTACAAGTTTACCACAATACACCAAATCACTGATCAAATCATCTTTCTGTCGTTCTACTCTACCATTAATTGACTATTAATATAATTAGACAACACACTTCGTTATAATAAGTTTACTATTTCTTAACTCGAAGTGGAATAGGATAAGCCCAAATTAGGTGTTGCAAAAAAACTGTGATATTTTGACGTAGAATGCAGTGGCGTAACTAGTTTTTCACTGGGAGCTGTCACTCTTGAAGTATTACCAAAACTTATGTTTTTTTAAATGGGATCCCGGTATATTATCTTTTTAATTTACCTAGTTATGGTCTTTCTAAGAGATACTCGCACTTTTATTTCATAGGTTTTTTCAACGGTAAAATACGAGAGAAAAATCATTGTTTGGCTTTGATAAACATTTACTGTGGAAAATCCCATTTGAAATATAAAACTGCGAATACCTGCGACACCGTTAAAAATTTTAAAATACTCTAAATACAGAAAATGTTCATTTTTTAATTCTCGATCTATTAAAAAAATACAGGGTATTCTATTTAAAAAAAAAATCGAAGAAAAAATATTTTATATTTTAGAGAGTTTGGCGTAGAATTTTGAACACCCTGTATGATATAAGATTACGATATTTATAACACAGTCAGTATAGACCATCTAAAGTAAATACCTAATATAGTTTTGATTTCAGGACAGTTCTTGTATTTGTAATATTTTTTTAAGTTTTATTTATTATATATTTTTTATTTATTTATAAATAACTCTGAAATTATGGAAATATATTTACTCATATATTAGGATTATGTAAAGTGATCTGAAAGGAAGCCGAAAATGCAAGAATATACAGGGTGTTCCATTAAAAAAAATCATTCCGATCCTCTCACATTTTTTTGAGAGAATACATTTTCATACATACCTACTTTAGGTTTGCACTTAAACAAAATTCCCAATTTTAATATTATAAGGTACAGATGCCCGATGCACTGTTTCCGGACCGTGTAAGTGTTAGCGGGTTAATCTGCATTTTGCAAAAATATTGAGTTTGTCTGGTTTGGTCGCCAAAATGTTCAATTAATGATAATAATGATTTAGTTTTAACCACCTACTGAAGAGCTACAGGTTTTTGATGTATTGTGGTAAACTAGTGATATTTAGCTGTAATAGCGTCAAAGGTTTAATAGCATTTTTTTTTGTAGAGTTTCCAAGGCCTAGAAAATCATTTATATACAATTAATGGTGACTGGTTGGCAGAAACAGTGGTAGCAAGTAAAATCCGATCATTTATGACAAATAAAAACGATGCGGTGAAGGTAAGAAACTTTTTTTCTCTTCAAAGAGAAACTATCCAACATGATAATGCATATTGCGCTGATTCAATAGAACGTAACGGGAAAAACGCATATTCCCCCAAATTTGTTTTTGTTCATATACCTTTTCTCGTGATGGGACTCGTCTGTTGAAATGTTTTTTGGACACCCTGTTTTTTGGACAGATTTTATAATAATTCTTTAGTGTTCTTGTCGATCCTATATCGAACAACCCTGTTTTTTGCTCGGTTTTTTGTATTTTTCTTTAATAACTATGTTAGTCCAGTCAGTAATATGCTAGTTTTCTTTTAGAAAATTGCTGACTATGCAGAATTCCTGTCATACCATAGAATAGATGACGGGAAATATCTAAAGAAGGTACTTAATAAATATTTATTTTATGACACAGACGAGATTAAATCAACAGAAAAGAATTATACAAGAATCCAGGAAATTATTGAAGACGTGTTTTTGGTAAAGTATATAAGATTCATTACATATACCGTATGATCGAAAAAAAAAACGGCGTCCAGTTGGCTGGGAAATGACGATCGATGACATTTCCCATATAAATTTACATATAAAATGACAGCGATCTTCATTTCATAGCCAACGCTGATTCCGTTTTTTCTCGATCATACGGTACTATGCCACAGACTAACCTAATTTAGTTTGTGACTATACTCTATTTCGTATTGGGATATTGCTTTTAAAGGGTAAACTTACACTTATTTGAATTAAAAAATTACTATTTTATTTTATGCAGAAATCTATAATATATACAGGGTGAGTCTTTGAGCAAATATTTTCAGGGCTGGTAGATCTCGATAAAAGAAACATATTTTCTCTTTACCATTTTTCAGATAAGTCCAAAATAACCGAGTTATTTAAGTTTGAAAATTAAAAAATATATATTTTTTTGAAAAAATTTTGAGAGCCACCGGATTTTTTCTATATTTGCATCCCTTTTAGTGACGTAACCATGGAGTAAAGCCGTAACTATGATAATATCAGAGATTAAGAAATTATACCCTGGAAAAATTTGCAGTGAACACTTTGAATAAGAAGACTAAGGAAGGAGCATATCAAAAATCTTAGGTACACCGCGATGGGCCTCAAATATGGCCGACTTAAATTCCGGTTTATCAGTGTCGTTCTAATTTTATTTAAAAAATGTAAAACTATGATGTAGGGTAGACGTGGGGTAGACTCAATAATTTGTTGTTTTATTTTACGTTGTGGTAATGTTGGTAGTTATTAAAATTGTTATAAAAATATATAATTTTAATAAAAATAGATAAGTTATAATAAGTATTTATTAACACAAACATCCGATACGCTACTGGGTAATCAAATTAATATATCTAAATTCTTTGACATCTAATCTTTGACAAGTAATAAATAAAAGCTAAAATGCAAGAAAAATATATAATTTAGTTAATTTAAGTAAATTTCATAAATGATCGGTTTACTACACGTATGTATATTATATAGTCACTTACTAGCGAAAAGGTGTTTCATTATTTCACTCAATTTTTGCCGAGATCTACCGCACGCTACACAACCAACTATTTTAGAGTCTTTTTCGATAAATCGCGATAGTGTCACTGTTAATTTAAGTTCTGCCACTATTTCCATCTAGATTTACTACCTTTATACAACTATCAGTAGTAGAATAAATAATAAATAACATAAAATAAGCTCCGTAAAGACTGACAAATCCACAAAATTTCAAATCAAATTCAAATGTGTCAAATGAATCGTCAAACAGAACTGTCAAGGATCCCCACGCTAGAGAGCTTTTATGGTGGCTTTTCCGCCCACCATGCATGAATACATGGATAGCATTATGCTCCTTCCTTAGTCTTCTTATTCAAAGGGTGAACAGGTATAGTTCTAAAAAGTTTTCGAAAAATATACAGGAAAATTTAAAAGAAAACGCCCGATTTTCGGCATCTTTTTTTGCGAAAAAAATCTCATAGACGTGTTCCTGGGGTCGAAATATACCACCCCTGAAAATATTTGCACTTATTTAAGAGTCACCCTGTATATAGCTCGTATTAGAGTACTTTCCCAATATAGAAGTTAGCATGATATATCGAAGTCAATCAAACTTATAATTACAATATTTTTTAAATAAAAATATACTGGCACGAGTACAAACAGAGCCGTACTAAATTCATATGTGTAAATATAAAATATTGATAATAATTTATTATTGACTGGTATTTTTTTCTTTTAATTGTTTTTTCAAACGTCACAAAAGTATTAATTTTTGCGACGTGATTGACAACATAAAAAAAAGTCATTTTAACGCCTAGACATAAAAGTGAAGCACTTTTACGCTTTACGCCTAGGCACAAAAGTACGAAAATATATTGTTACACTGACATAAAGTGTAAAATTCAACGAGCGTAACATAGTTTCTTGATATATTATTATGACATAAATTAGGATTGATTAACGGTATTCAATTGTTTTCGGTCACTTCCTCTTTCACCGGAAATGACTACAACTTTTGATTTTTTAATGGCATCCTCGGTATTTTTTACTATATTCAATAGAAAATTATAATCTGGATAGAATAGACGTATCACAACTTTCGACATTTTCGCATATGGTTTATTTGAAATCGTTACATGCGCTTCATAACGACGTTACTGTCTATACATTACTAGTCTGTCAGTTACTGAGAATGTCAAAATTTGACATATAATATGTCAATCTATTCAGAGTGTCATTTTCTATCGCATATCGAATACATATACTAACATCCAAATCGCGTTTTTTATCTGAAAACATAAAAAAAGTTACAGGGGTGAGTCACTTTTGAAACGCACCCGGTATAGGGTGTTCTGTTACAAAAAACACAACTTTGATGTGTTTGGTTTGGTTTGTTTTTTTTTTAAATGCTCTAAATTTGAATTGATAACTGAAAATGTAACGTTTAATTTAAAGATCAAGACATTAAAAGCAGTAAAAATTAAAAAAGACAGGAAATCACTAAACATTCACTCATTCGTGTTCTCACTTCAACAGTTAATTCTCTTGATCACTAAAAATTAAAATTCTTGCTTTATCCACAACGAAGTTACAAGGGGTCAAAAGAACCGCGATTTGCTTGGACGATATGTCTATTATAAAAATTCTTATTCTATTCAGAATCATTTGGCCCTTCTACGTGATCGATAAAGCCCTTAATACACCCTTATTTCGTTTCATATCTCCCCGTAAGATGCCCCTAAAAGCTACAACTTTCTGAATAGATTATAAACCCCGAGTTGATATTTCAATTTGAAGGGTCGAAGGGCATACTTACCTGGCGTAGAGGTCAACCGTGATCAAGAAGGCGGTTCCTCCGGGGCGAGGCTCTCCCATTGCACTACGGCTGAGCTGACCCTTGCGATTATCCCTAATGTGGATAACTCGGACGCGTAATTTTTGGTAGTCGGGACTGCGTACGCGCTGTCCCGGTGTTAAATTAATTTAAATATAAAATCTAGTCAAATTATACAAAATGATAACGCGCACAATAAAGTTTTGTTACTTTGGGTGCCACAATAGTAAGTTCTAAACCATAGACAATAGAAAATAACTACCTATTGTTCTAAAACCTTATACTGGAGGGTGCCATTTAAAAATCAAAAGATGTAGTCATTTCCGGTGAAACAGGAAGTGACCTAAAACAACTGAATACGTCAATCAATCCTAATTTATGTCATATATTAACATACCAAATCTCGTTTTTTTATCTGAAAAAATAAAAAAGTTATAGAGGTGAGCCACTTTTGAGACGCACCCGGTATAGGGTTTTACAAAAAATACAACTTTTATGCGTTTTTTAAAACAATTTTTTTTAAAATGCTCTAAATTTGAATTGATAACTGAAAATTTAACGTAACATGAAAAGCAGTCAAAATTAAAAAAAAAACAGGAAACTGGAAATCGCTAAACAATAAATTGAAATCACAGCAATCAAAATTCATTCGTGTAACTTCAACAGTTAATCTTCTTGATCACTAAAAATTAAGATTCTTGCTTTATCCACAACGAAGTTACAAGGGATCAAAAGAACCACGATTTGCTGGACGATATGTCTCTTATAATTCTTATTCTATTCAGAATCATTTGGCCCTACTACGTGATCGATAAAGCCCTTAATACACCCTTATTTCCTTTCATATCCTACCCGTAAGATGGCCCTAAAAGCTACAACTTTCTGAATATATTGTAAACCCCGAATTGATATTTCAATTTGTAGGGTCGGAGGGCATACTTACCTGGCGTAGAGGTCAACCGTGATCAATAAGGCGGTTCCTCCGGGGCGAGGCTCTCCCATTGCACTACGGCTGAGCTGACCCTTGCGATTATCCCTAATGTGGATAACTCGGACGCGTAATTTTTGGTAGTCGGGACTGCGTACGCGCTGTCCCGGTGTTATATTAATTCAAATATAAAATCTAGTCAAATTAGACTATTAGACAAAATGACAAAATGATAAGGCGCACAATGAAGTTTTGTTAGTTTGGGCCATAAAATAATTAACTAGAAAGAAGTGTCAACTCTGTGTTAAATCGTGGAAACACGATACGCCACCGAAAGCCTTCGTTGTCGTCTGGAGAACTAATTTTCCAATTGACAGGTTGACATAATAAGGACATGATGGCTTAATTTTCATTTCCGTTTCCGGTTATTCAATGGCGGGTCCTCTTTCAGTTCAAATGTATTTTGTATTTTTACTTTTCATAAATAAAACCAAAAAATTATTTATTCACATATATTTATTTGAAATATGGAACAACGTGACTAAATAAATATAAAAATATAGAGGATTGTATTGTTTCAATACCAATTAGTTAATTATATGTACTTTTAACGTAAATTAGTTAAGGTATAAGCATGACTTACAGTATTTTGTAAATAAACACACGTATTCGCAGACTTCAAGGACAGAAAACGGACACAGGAACATGAAAACGGGAGCCTTATACAAAAACCTGAAAACAGAAAAACAATTTTTTTATACTAAAATTAACAATGTAAAAATATCAATAGGTATAAAATATAAATATACTGTTTAAAAAGCGTCCATTATTCCCAAAGAGGCCTGGCTTATAAATCAAAAAGAAGCAAAAAGAGACTTTTAGTCGGATAACATAATCAGATTATCAGTCCGATTTATTGCATTATTGACAATAAATCGCACATACTGGAGATAACTAATGTTGGCTATAGTTAAAAATGATCTTACCTTGCTGTAAATTGCTTCCATTTTCAGAAAAATCGCCGATCAAAGATATTATAATACCATTTTCTTGCATCTAAAAAATGTAAAAACAGTGTTTATTTACTACCTATTTTTCATATACATGGGACATACCTACTACTGCAGAAACGTCGTTTTCTCCAGGATTCTTCATGTAATATATATTTTATATACTTTATTACCATTATATTTATAAATTTCAGCCGAA